CTTTCCCTAGTGCCACCTTAATAAGTTTCTGCCTACCCCCAGCCATTCATTTCCAGCTCAGCAGCAATGCAGTGCCGTCTCCGTCCTGACCCTGTGGAAAACCAGATGACTAAAAATATCTTAAGTCAAGAAAAGAAACTTTTTTTTTTTTTTCTTTGAATTAGAATCACTTGAGTGAAATTGTTTATAGCATGGCCCACGGACAGCTGTATGGGTACAGCTGAAGGTGACATGAACTGCAGCATCAGAGGCAGCAGTGAGCGCTGGAGGGTGTCCCAATGTTTGTGTGATCTTGCCATCAACAAAAATCTCCTCTGGGACCACACCGTGGGTGGAAGGAGCTTCACTAGCCACAGTATTATTTACTGAACTGCTGCTTCTCATTTTATTATATTTTATTAAGAAAGATTAACATCATCTTGCTTGGGCAGGTTTTTTTCTTGAGGAGATAAACCATCTCTGTGAGAAGTCAATCAGCTTTGTGGACAGCCATGAATGTCAATAAAATCTTGGCAAACACAGTAGGTATTTATTCAGCCTTGCAAATTAAAAACATTTTTCCTGCTTGTTTAGTGAGGGGAACAAAAAAAGACAAATTACATAGTGGATGAGCTCTCTTGATAGTTGGAATTCATTAAGCTGGTGGTGAAAACGTTGGGGGATTGATGGTGCAGAAAAATAAAAGATGAAGCAGCTTTTCCCCAATAGTTGTGGTTTAAGTTCAAGTTGAAAATGACCGGAAAAAAAAAAAAAATCCTTTAAAGACATCTGTAACTGACTTCACAGTCTCAATTTCTATCTTGGTAGGCAGTTCTTCCTCACTGCAGTTAGTATTAATTGGGTTTTCAGCTGACAGACAACTCCTTAATGGTTCCTCGATCTTCATCATGCCATAGGGTATCTGCAGCAGCTCATAAATGAGATACATGGCCAAGCGTTAAGTAGGAAGTTCGCGCAATCGCTTCCTATGCTATAGCTGTTCTGCGAACACAGGCTTTCTGCAGAGTTGTCAAGCTGTCATCTTGCCTTGGCTCCACGTTTTATTAAAAAAAAAAAAAAGAAAAGAATTTAAAAAGTTACAGTAAGTTGAGCGGTTTGTCAGACATAACGTACTCGCGGGCTATTGTCTGCAAATTACAGGCTGACTCGGTCTTTCAGCCTGTCATAAATGGATCGTAAAGCTGTCATAAGTAAAGCTCTAACAGAATCCATTTACACAGCTCCTGTTATGGCAGCACACGGAAAGGAAACAATAAGACTTATTTTTTTACGAATTTCCTGTACAGGATCAATAGTCCAGTTGGAAGCCTTTCCAAGTCACTCCAGTAGATGTTCTCTCCAATTATCCCTGGATTTGTGTGATAAAGAGCCCACAACTGTCACTTGCAGTCAAAGTTGGGATCACAGATCATGTAGTATTTGGAGCACTTAACGGCAGGAATTCATCGCTGGAAGAGAGGGGGTTGCCTGATCGGTGTTTGAATGCAGCTAAACCACCTGTAAGCTGAACCGTGAGAATTATTTAACAGCAAAACAAAGGCATCCTAAATGCTAATCTTGCGGTGGTTTGATCGCAGACAAAACTTCACTTGTGGAAGTAATCCTGTTGATGTATAGAATCATAGAATCACTTTGGTTGGAAAAGACCTTTGAGATCATCAAGTCCAACCTTTAACCGAACCCTGCTATCCCACCACTAAACCATGTCAAATAAAAATCACATGAATTCTGAAGTATTTAAGGTCGGGGCTTAAGTCACTGACATGTCATCCCCATATTTTCTCTGGAAGGCGACAGAACTGTGTTTGTAACTACAGAAACAAAAATGTGTAATCGGAAACTCTTCCATCTAAAATCTTTATCGAAGTCTATGATTCCTGGGTTTGCCTTTCTGACTTCCCAAGCTCTTGCTTTTCTGCTAAGTAGATACATGGATGTAAAGACGTTATTTCCTCTGTTCCTCTTCTTCTTCTCCAGTTGAATGACAAAATTGCTCTCAGCTTTTCTCATCATTAAATCTAGGAAGGACAGAACAGTCCAAGACCTGAAAATGTTTTAAAACTTACAGGACCTAATTAGAAGGAGGCACCTCGGAGAAGTACAATAGCTCTCTATCTGCCATTCATTTGTTTTTCCAATTTAGAAATGACAGTTTACAGCCCTAATGCGAGAGTGTTTCTCATTATCTGCCTTCTAGAAACACGCAGAGTTATTACAAGTTTTGAAAGATAATTTCTCCAAAAGTGCAAATGATATTAAATGGAAGGATTTGCTCACTGGATAGTCAGATGGAGATGCTGTGGTCTGCCGGCTAGCGGTAAAGACAGAGCCACGCAACTGGACCTCGGCTTCAAATCCCACGTGCGTCACGACTGCAGCTGTACAGGAAAAGATGTTATAGCGTGATTTAGCCTTGCCTTGTCCAGGGAAGATAACGGCCACAAAGTGTCATTGCTTTCCCTGCTTCACAGATGGATCTCAGGTTTCTTGGACTTCCTCATGAAGATTTTCTTGGAGAGGAGTGTGTTAGCTGTGCTG